TTTATGTTGTTTTCTTGATAATGTGCAATGGCTAAAAACATTAACTACATTACAAGTATTTAAAAAAGGCATTTTAATAGTAAACACTATTTTCAGTTTAGGAATATTCATGACATATAATCATTTTATATTTTTAAATACTACATATTTTGTCTTTACAGGAATTTTTATATTATCTTCTTTATTAATATGTAATATTTGTATATATGAGGTACATATGGTATTTTGTTACATATATAAAGTGTGTAAAGATCAATTCAGGGTATCTAGGATATCTGTCACCTTGAACATTTAACATTTCTACATATTGAGAACATTTCAGGTGCTCTCCTATATACAATACATTGTTGTTAACTATAGTCACCCTACTGTGGTATTGAACATTAGAACTTAATTCTTTTATCTAACTCTTGTTTGTACCCATTATATCAATCTTTCTTCATTTGCCTCCACCAATGAAGGCCACCCACACCCTTCCCAGACTCCAGTTACTATCATTCTACTCTCTACTCCAGCGATATCCAACCTTTTGGCACCCCTGGGGCACAATGGAAGAAAAAGAATTATCTCGGGTCACACATAAAATACACTAATGCTAGCAGATGAGCTAAGAAAAAAAATAAAAAAAAAATCTTATAATTTTTTAAGAAAGTTTACAAATTTGTGAAGGGCTGCATTCAAAGCCATCCTGGGCTGCCTGAAGCCTGCAGGCCCTGTGCAGCCTTCAGGACGGAGGTTGGAGAAGCTTGCTCTGCTCCAGGAATCAACATTGTTTAGCTTCCACATCTGAATAAGAACATGCAATATTTGCCTTTGTGTGTCTGGGTTATTTCACTTAACATAACACCTCTAGTTTCATGCATTTTGCTGCAAAGGACATGTTTTCATTATTTCTATATCCAAATAGTAGTCAACTGTATACACATACACCATATTTCCTTTATCATTTTGTCCATTGGTAACTATGTCAATTCCACTAACCCTTTGCTATAATTTTGATGACTGCATAAGTTAAACATTAAAGAACTGGTGGAACGTGTGCCTGAGTACAAGGGCTGGAATGCAAAAACAAACCCATTAAGAACCCACTTGGGTTTTCTCAGACTCTAAAGTCTGACCAAATAATACAAACATTCTTAGACATGCACTTCATACCAGGGCCCACTTAAAATTAAGAAACTTTCTAAGACTCCAGAGAAAGCTTTCCAGACCCCAGACCCCAGTTAAATATTAGATATAGATTGAATGAAACACTCCTGCTTGTAGGTGCACTCCAACATGTAAGCATGAAGCTTAAAATGTATACAAGCACTAGAACAAAAACTTGTAAATTTGAGTTGGTCTGATGAGTTACTCCAACATTCTCCTTATAATCAGTTGCAGAAATAAACTCCCTTCTTTTCCAGTCTATGTGAATCTTGTTATTGGACCATGAGAGCAAGCAGCTGGATCTCATTCTGTCCCGTTACAAATATACCAAATTAACATAAGTAGCATATCATATGTGTGCTGAATATATTTGGTACTAAAGAAACTTAAAAACTTTACTTTTTTTGATACTTTTAAATACCAAGAATTAATTAATTATTTATTAATTAATTTATTTATTTTCCTTGTGTTCATTTCCTCTTACAAGTATATAGGAAACCTTTCTCTTTACTCTCTGGATCTTTACAAAATTGCAAGCCTTGGTGAACAGTAATCGTCGTCTTGGATGATACTTGTGCAAAGAGTGTTTTGAGACATCTATATTGTGGATAAAACTAATTATTTAATACAGGACTTTTTTTTAAAAGGACATTCTTTTTTAACTTCACTTCAGCAAAGTTTACCTGTAGGCACATACTATATATGCATTTGAAACATAAAATGTAAATAAATGAGCGTGAATTTTTTCCCTACTTTAAGTGGACTGGCATCTTTTCCATATGCTTTCCATGTAATAACATTCCCAAAAAGTTAAGTGCATCTAGGATCCACCATATTTAATAACCTTAGCACCAGCTGCTCATATTCACTGCCAGAAAGGATGCTTTTTTGTACACAGCTTAAAGACAAAAAAAAAAAAAAAGTGATTTAGAAGCTGCTACTAGACTGAAAGGTAAATCAGTGCTCCCATAATTCAAAGTGTACTTTTTGTAAAAAAGCAAGTAAAAGCACAAACGCAATTTTACCTGAATATTTAAAGAGTAATTCTATATGATATGACACTTACTACAACAGAAATGTTTGCTTACTTTCATAGGACTCCTGGGAAGAGGAGCTCTAACAACAATTGTCTTTAGTAAATAAGTTTTTTTGCATCACATTTGTGTATGTCCTGAATGTTCTGAGCCCTTCAGATTTGACTTATATTCATGCTAAAAGAAAAAATGCAAATGAAAATTGTATAGCTAATTATCAGAAAAATAAAGTATCATAAGAAAACCAGTAAACTATTTTTTTAACAAACATAAGTATAGAGAATACATAACTCTACTTTTAGTTTAAGGGCAAATATTCTCTCATTATATGGATTTATGAAATACAATATTAAGAATAGTAAAGATTATTATTTTACTGACTTTAACTACAAAAAAAAAATGCCTTTGAGACTTAATTGGGTAATTTTATGTGAGCTAATATTTGTGGTCGATAAGGCTTTCAAGGGAGCCAATTACGTGCTTTTCTTCCATCAATATTGCAGTATTACAGGTTTTTCTGTGACCTTTTGTACCTTTTTTGTTGTTGTTGTTGTAAATATTAAGTTTTGCTCTTTCGGAGAAAACATTTCTTCCTTGACTGTTATTACTGCTGATAGCTAGAAAGGATTACCAGTAGAACCCCTGCTTTAAAGAAAAAGAAAAAGATTGGGCTATAAATGATTATTTTTTATTTCAAAATCCAGCAAACTGAGTTTAACTAACACTAGAGGACTGCAGATCGTCTACTACAGAAAGATTTTTTTTTTTTTTAATTTCTTATCACAAATAAAAACTTCTGCAAATCATTACTTTAAATGTTACATAGAGATGCTAGTTGGTAAGGAAACCACTACTAAGCTTGCTCTGGTTTGTACGTTAGTGTGTCTGATGAAAACAGAACAAATAACTGTCGGAGAAAATTCTATCTTCAGTATAATCCTTGAGAATACTCAAAGTACCAGCAAAATTGTAAAACTGTCCAAGATAAGGTTCACAATGAGCTTTCTGTGCTCACATTTCATTCTCAATGGGACCTGAGGTCCTGGGATTGAAATGAAGATCTGGCTTCTATCAGAGATGAGATGTACAAAATATTTGTATTCATTCAGATCTTTGCAAATAAAATAAAGTAATGGGAACCTTTGATGAGGCAAAAATAAGAAGTCTCCACATTTAGGTTATTGGACATTGTTTCAAAATCTTAAAAAAAATAAATAAATAAATAAACTTTTTTTTCACCCATCAAATGTTTTGGGTTGAGACTTTTATATGCACTTCTAAAATGTTATTTAGTAGAGTTGATTTTTTAAAGATGTAAAAAGAAACAATTTTAAGACAAAAAGTGTTTTTTTAATATGAGGTTATAACTACTAGTTTTTGAAGAAAAAATCTATAGCAACAGTTGCAACTTACTTTCTTTATGTAGGAACTTGAACAATGTTTAGAGAAATACAGCAACAAATGTCACATAATTGTTAAACATTTCATGAAAGAATCTTGGCTTGACAAATAAATGCATAAAAAGTGATCTTCCATTGCAACTGTTTGAATTGTTTTGAAATTGTGACTATATTAGATTTACTGTCTATCATGATTTATGATACCTTCCAAAGGAAACCAAAGGATATAATACTGACTACATAAATCCAAAGTGGGGGTTGTTTTTATACTGCTAAACATAAGGGTAAAAGTGTCCTGGAGACTTTTAAGTACCTAGATTTAACATTTTCATATTCTTGGTAATTATCTAGTAAGATTATAGTTGATTTTTTAATATTCTTCAAAATATTCATGTACTTTTTTGTTAAATAAATTTGACTTCTTTCTCTATGAATCTCCTTCTTTGGTATATGCACTCCCCTATCCCTGAGGGGGATGTGACTATTCACTCATTTAGCAAATCCCTCTGAATTCAGCTTTTGCTCAATGGCACACAAATGGAGCAATCCATATGTTTTTGGATGAAATAAAACTGCTAACCTGGAGCATCTTAGTAAAGGCTTCTAGGAATATAGAAAATGTATAATGTAAAACAATGTCAATTTCCTTGGTTAGAGATTAATCTTGTATTTTATTTATTTTTTTTGTTATACAACCTAATGTTAAAAGAGTAGGGAATTAGGCTGTCTGGGTACTATCTAAAAGAGGCTAATGATTCTATACTTAGGAGAAGTAAATTAACTGTCCTCAATCTCAGTTTTAGTACTTGAAAATGTAAATAATAATCATATATACCTGAAAAGATTCTATGAAAAATAAGTAAAATATTCAAAACATAGGAATATACACAATGCCTGGAACATTTTATCATTAATGTCATTATCACCACTCTCCTCACTATTATTACATTTTCTTCATATCAGTCATAACATAGAGTTTATAATATAGAATTGCCTTTATTGGAATGACTTCATTCAAAATTATATTATTTAAATTTCAGTGAAAAATAACTCCATGATAGTGTTTGAAAACATATTCCTGTGTCTGAGATACTAATGGCCAATAAATCCTGGATTACACTAGTCTGATCTCTTGCCTTCAATCAAAAACAGGATGGGAGTGAAAATCCCTGAAATTGGTTAAAAATTGGGATGTCAACTACCTAACACACATTGCGTTTGTCAAATAGTTTGTATTTTAAAGAAAGAGATTATTATATATTATTTCCGGATTGTTTGGAATATCTGGTAATAGATAAAGGCTCCCACCTTGAAAAACTAAAAATGCCAGATGACATATGGAAATCACCTTTTCAAAAGGAGCAAAGAGTTTCTTAAGAACTAGAGGAGGAGCAATACGGAAAAGTAAGAAACTCACAGAAAGAAGCTTGTCTTTTGAAGTGACTTTTACTCTCAGGCATTTTTCCCAATTCTGAGCATGGGCGAGTAACAGATTCCTCTGCAAAGCTTAGAACGTGGAAGAGGGCTGTTGTAGAGGGAGACAGATATGTATAGAGCTTTGATGGAGATTTGAATAGCTCAAGTTCATGATTAACTTACCCTCCAAATGTTTGACATATACTGAAGCTACTTGGGTAGCAGAAAGAAACTGTAGAGAAAGCTTCTGAAAAACAGAACAAAGATTCTCTGGAATAATATAAAATAACAATGAAAAGTGGAGACTCACCAGATGAAGGGGCCCTTACCGAATACACATGAATGTCTGTGAGAAACTCGAGAGATCTAGGGAGAACTAGAAGTAGAATTGTTACAGAAAAAAAAAAAAAAAAAACAGGTCTTGTTACATGACCAGGAAAGATTAAGCTCACAGACGCACAGAAGGATGAAGAATGGACATTAAAGGATAAACAACTCAGCAAAAGAAGATGAAGTCCTGCTAAAAGGCTCTCCGACTCACGGATCGAATCCCAGGTTACCACCCTGGAAGGAGAGGCCAGGCTCCTCTCCGCTGCAAATGACATGAACTTCCCCAGTGAACTTCCCCGGACCCCACCCCATCCTCCCAGTGCACAGGTTGACATTATTCAGAAACAATCAGTTGGGAAAGGGTGGGTTTCTTATGGGAAGCCAGTTTGGTTTTTCAGCCTTCAGGCTGTTTTAGACTTGAAGGCAGGGTTTTGCCAGGGAACAGTTGGCTGCTTCCCGTCTCTATCAGAGTGAGCCTTAACATTGAAACTGTCACTGCAAAATTATAACTGAGACGATTACTACAGTGAAAGACAGCTGACCTAACTGACTCCATCTTTCTTCTAACCTCCAAGCTGTCTAGATCATTCCCGGGCGTAGGCCGAGCTAACTTTGGGAAGAACTTAGTTTATAGTCTACTGTTTGAAACAAAGACAATAACAGCCATTTCCCAAAACAAACCCCCTTCTTTTCTGGGGACTAGGCTGCCTTTGTAGGACTAACAAATTAGCTACAAGATTAGAAATTATGGTTTAGGGGCTATAATTTGCTGCAAGAGTCTGAGCCTCCCCAAATTGCGCCCGGGAATAACATCACCGTTGTAAAGCCTAAGATTAGCGCTTTAGATATTTTGCAGACCATGCATTCTGATGCACCAGCGGACACCACCCAGATCGGAAATCTGGCTCGGCCAGTTCTGTGATCCCACTCCTGAAAAGAAGTCAGTGAGAAAAACCTCACTTCAACCCCACTATGATTCTATCTCCACTCGACCAATCAGCACTCTCCACTTCCCCAGCCCCTCCCTGCCAAATTATCCTTAAAAAATGATCAAAATGCTCAGGGAGACTGATTTGAGTAATAATAAAACTCAAATCTCCAGCACAGCCCCACCCGGGTGAATTACACTTTATTACAATCCCCCTGCCCTGATAAATCAGCTCTGTCTAGGCAGTGGGCAAAGTGAAACCACTGGGCAGTTACAACAGGACAATTATCCAGCTTGTTCTTCCAGCCCAGCCTGCCTGACAGGATGACCACTGTGTCAGGTATAAAGCCAGATGAGTGCAGTGGATCACTACATTTTTTTTAAATATGTGATGCTGGGTGCGGTAGCTCAAGCCTTTAATCCCAGCACTTTGGGAGGCTGAGGTGGGTGGATCACCTGAGGTCAGAGGTTCAAGATCAGCCTGGCCAACATAGTGAAACCACGTCTCTACTAAAAATACAAAAGTTTGTCGGGCATGGTGGTGGGTGCCTGTAATCCCAGCTACTTGGGAAACTGAGGCAGGAGAATCGCTTGAACCCAGGAGGTGGAGGTTGCAGTGAGCCAAGATCTTACCATTGCACTCCAGCCTGGGCAACAGAGCAAGACTCTGTCTCAAAGAAAAAAAAAAAAAAAAGACAGAAAAGAAAAAAATATCTGATGGTTGGCAGAAGATACAAAATGTATATAGACCACATCGCTAATAATTAAGAAAAAAATAGACCCACAGGTGATCCAAATATTGGAGTTATCTTAAAAAAAAAAAAAAAATCTTAATATTAAGTTTAAGAAAATGGAAACAAAAATAGGAAAACAGAGTAAAAAATGAAGAATTTTAATAGAAGATTGGAACTTTAAAAAACCATTCAAATAGAAATACTGAGACTAAATGATTGTATAAAACATAGTATATAAACCGTGAGGGCCATTGACTCTTGGCCCCCTAAAGTTTCACTGAAAATCACTGACACAAGGCAGATTGACTAAAAGGAAAAGCATACCAATTTATTTACTGTGGGAGCCTTCAGAGTGAAGACTCCAAACTCCCAACAAAATACAGAACTTATCATGAGGTTATAGAAAGAATGTGGGCTCAGAGGATGACCAAAAGCAAGTTTTAGTTTCAAGACAGGTTACTGGGAGGGGGAAAGGAAGAGGCCTGACTAGTAAAGGTTCCTTGTTATGTAGATGAAGCTTCAAAGGTACCAGTTTTCAGAGATAATAGAGGGTTCTTATTTTTTCTTTTCAGACTTTTAAAGGAATCAGATGCTCAGTCTCTCCTAGATCCTGGAAATGTGTGGGAAGGGAAGATCTGGTTGTATTCATGGAGATTTGCTACAGATGTCTTCTGGCTCTGTGGCAACCATTTCAAAACAGGTCAAAGAAACATATTTTAAGGTAAAATATATGTATCTATTTGTATGTATATGAGGTTTGCATATACATATATCATTAAACAAACCTCATTATTAGATTTTCATAGCAGACAAAAAGTATCATGATACATGACTAATGAATAGGAAGATATGTGGATAGGAAATAGCCAAATTGAAGAACTCAGAAAGGAGAGATTAAAAAGTAATAATAAAAGAGTCTTAGACACTAATGGGGAAAAACATAAGACACATGAAATGAGAGTGCTAAAGATAAAAAAAATGGAGAGAATATTGCAGAAGTAATAAAAAAGTGATTGCTAAGAAATTTCCCAAATTTATTAGACATTCATTCACAGACTTAGTAATTTCTGTGAAGCCCACAAATAAGACATGAACAAAAAACTATGAGGAATATCTTAATAGGCCTTTGATTTGTTGAAATCACAGACAAAAATCTTAAAACCAAATTGAAGAGCAAATGGTATGAAACTGTGCAGGTGGAAGGAAAGCAGGTTTATTCAAGTGCTGACAGTTTGGAACACAGCTTGCCTCAAGTTTCAAAAAGCCACCTCAAATTCTCAGGCCAACTAAAGGGACTTTAAAGGGAAGGTTGGATGGAAGTTATATGCAGGTATGGTGCAGGGTGCAGGTCTGCTTGTAGTTTTTAATGGATATTTCCAGTAATGAATCATCCATTAGTCCAACTGACGTTATCTCAGCGGGAGTCAGGTCATGCATTAACTGTACACTGATTTATTCTCAGAAAGAAGAAAATTGCAACTGTGATCTCTGCTTCATGCCTAAATTATTTCAAGATTACCCTTCGAAATACTCAAACAAGTAGTTAGATATATGTATAGCAAGAAACAAAGCAGAGGAGGATTTATTTTTAGACTAAGCTAGCAAATTGGCAATACTAGCTAAAAACTCCCCACTCTCAATGCTCATTCCGTTTCTATGGGATATCAGGGTGTTAACTTTCTTCAGAGTACTTCCTGCTCTGTAGCAGTGTCTCTAGGGGCCTGAGGAATGGAATTTATTTATAGGAGTTGGAAATATTCCTGTGTTTCTGGGCTCACAGAGGGAATACGTTGAAGCATCGCTGAATGGAGAGTTAAGAGTTTCTGGAGAAAGCTATCCTATAACCCAATATGTGTTGTAGAGCAAGCAGTATAACCTGCAGCAAAGAAGTATGCCTGTTTTTACAATTACATTTAGAATTACAAGTAATTATTTCCATCAGAAAGGTCTTTACCCAAACCATTATAAGCATTGATTCAGTGAGATTATAGAGTAAGATATAACATTAGTTTGTACATGACCTGGAAGGCTGAGGAGGTATTTTTTGAATTATCTGGAATATACACACAACGTTCAGTTTTTGTTTGTTTGTTTGTTTGTTTTCTGGAATATACACAACATTCAGGTTTCTTTTTTTGTTGTTGTTTGTTTTGTTTATTGTTTGTTTTGTTTTGTTTTCTGTCGACTGTGGTCTCTAAAATGGCAATCTAAAGGTTGCAGGAAAAGGCAAGTCACAGATTTTTCTTTGAAATTTCTAGAACCATAATAGTTTTTTATTTTTTATTTTTTATTTTTTAAAATTCAGAAATAGAGAGGTGTTAGTTACAAAGTATTTGGCCACTATATCAATAAGAAAGTCAGGAAGTTTTTTCCCCACTGACAATTGTACTTAGAGCTCGTATGGGGATATGATGACAGGTTGTCTAAAAGTAGTTATTCAACACATTCCTGGAGGAGTTACGAATAGCTATGACAATGGTCCCTGGCACATACAATGATCGAATAAAAACCTCACTCGCCTAACCACTATAACTCAGTTTATTTGGGGGAGTGGCGCACTCTCAACCTCCAAACCTGTATATCAATTAGACTACGCGCGTCAAAAGCTCCTTTTTAGGACACAAAGACACTCGAGTCATCGCAATTCTATGTAACTGGCCATCCAGGACTAGCGCATTCCTTGTGGTCCCTTCCGTCTAATCCAGCGACGAAAGTTA